TCTTAATTTTTCTCTGTGCAACTCCTCCCTTACCAAGTACCACGGCGTCCTCTTGTCTATTCCCAACACCCATCTCAAATATTTTTTTTCAAGCCTCTCCATCCCCTCTCTCTCTCTCTTCCCATCACCATATATCCACCCCGTACCCCATTACCGTCCAAACCTCCTCTTCCCTATCCCCCACACTTGCCCCATTACCGCCGCCGCCTTCCTAACCCTCTTTTTCACGTGCGCCTCTTGAACTCCATTCCTTTGTAGCGTATACCCTAGGTATCGGAACTCCTTCACTTCTTCCACCTTTCTTCCTTTCCACCGCCAATCCTTTTTCACCATCCTGCCTCCTCCTTTTCTAAACTTCATGATCTTGGTTTTCTCTGCATTTAGTTGCAGGCTCTTCTTATCCAGATACTTCTTCAGCCTCTCCATCATACTTCTCATTTTATCTTCCCCCTCCGCCAGCAGCACTATGTTATCCGCAAACTCCAGGTCATACACCCTTTTTTCCCCCAGCCTGATTCCACCCCACTTGACCTTCTTCATCTCCTCCTCCAAGTCAGCCAACAATATAATAAAAAACAGCGGGCTCAGCGGACACCCCTGCCTTACCCCTCTTGCTGTCCAAAAACTCCCCCAGTTCCTTTCCCGCTCTGACCCTACTTCTCGTCTCTCTCAATACTTCCTCTATTCTTTCAACCAAACCCTCCCTAACCCCCCTTTCCCTCAGCGCCTCCATCAACACCTCCCTGTCCACTGAGTCAAATGCCGCCTTTAGATCCACAAACAGCGCCACCACCTTTCCCCCCTTCCTTCTTATTTGCCTATTTATTAGGTAATTGAGCACATAAATGTTGTCCACCGTCCTCATCCCCTTCCTAAATCCCGTTTGATTCGGCGGGATGATCCCCTTGTGCTCCACTTCCTCCCTCAGTCTCTCGGCTAACACCGCTACGTACACCTTGTATAAGGTGGGAAGCAGGGTAACCCTCCTATAGTCTTCTGCCCTCTCCCCTTCCCCCTTCTTTATTATGGGCACAATCACCCTCTCTTTCCAACTCTCCGGCCACTCTTCTCCCCTTCATACTTTGTTGCAAAACTCTCTCACCCACTCCGCCAACACTTCTCCCCCGTGTTTCCACACCTCGCTCGGAATACCGTCTACCCCCGCCATTTTTCCCTCCTTCATTTTCTTTAAGACCCTTCTCACTTCTTCCATACTTATTTCTTCCTCACCTCCCTCCTTCCCCCTTCTCTCCTTCCCTTGACAACCCTTCTCTCTACCCCCCCAAGTAACCTCATAAAATGCTTTTTCCACTCCGCCATCTCTATCCCTTTCGTCACTTTCCTCTTCTTTTTCCTCTCTTTATTAACTGATTCCCACACTTCACTTTCTCTTCTCACCTCCGCCGCCCTTTTTTCCACCTCTCATTTTCTTTCTTTTTCCTCTTGCACATCTCCCTAAACTCTTGTTTCCTCCTTTTATACTCCTTCCCTCCTCTCCCACTCTTACCTTGCCCGTCATAATCCCCTCTTCCGCCCCCACAATCCTTTCCCCCTTCTTCACTAACTTCTTCTTTATACCCATAACCATTCTCCCCATCGCTCTTCCCTTCTTATTCTTTCTCTTTGCCGTCTGCACTCCCCACTCATACCCTTCCGGCAGTCTCTCCTTAACTCTCTTCCACCCTTTATCATCCAGCCATGTTTCCAGCAGCACCATCACATCCCATTCCTTCAGCCCTGTCCAAAACTCCTTATCTTTGTTCTCTAGCCCGGCCACGTTCCAAAAGGCCACGCTTCACTCTCTCCTTCTCCCTCCCTCTTTCTCCCTCTCTTCTCTCCTCCCTCCATTTGCTTGTGTCTAGTATTGTAAGCGGACTTGGGCTTTCTCCGATTGCACTGCTTACCATCAACGGCGAACATGTCCTCCTCCGGCTGGTTTTCCTCCCGGGGCATTTCGAGCATCGTGTCAGAACTATTCTGTTCTCCCTTTTTTCTCTCTCCCTCCTCTCTTTTTTGATCTCCCCTCCCATCTCTCAAAACCTCCTCTTCCTCATCCCATTTCTACCATTGCTCATCTATCCATAGCTTTCTATATCCTATTCTCACCCTTCTTCCTTTTCTCTCTTTCCCTCTCGCGATTTCCTCTAACCTCCACCTCATTTTTTTCTTTTTCCACGTCCAGTCCTCCAGAATCCTCTCTTTCCTTCCTTTCAGCTCTCCCTTTCTTTTCATGATTTCTCCTCTCTGCTCTTCACTCTTCATCCTTACCACTACCATCTCTCTGTCCTTCTATCTGTCCCCCCCCACTCTCTTGACCTCCTCTATATTTCTTCTTACCCCCATAACGTTTAGCACTTACTACACCGCCTCTCTCTCTCCTTTTTTCTTCTTTAACCTCCAATCCTTTAATTAACACATTTTTTCTTCTCTCTTCACGCTCCTTTTTTTCTATCCTCCTCTCCAACTCTCTTATCTTGTCCCCCACCCCGCCTCCTTCTCTCTCTCCCACTACCCTACCTCTCATTTCACCCCCCTCTTTATTTCTCTCCAACTCCTCCACCTTCTTTTTCAGCTCTTTTATGCAGCTCACCAACTTCTTCTTCTCTTCGTTCCATTTCTCCTCTCGCTCCCTGCACTTTCTTCTCAACTCCTCCACCTCCCCCCTCATCAACCTCCCCTGTTCCCTGAGCCCCTCCTTCATATCCTCTATCATCTGTCTCAAATCCCCCCTCCACCCTTTTACCTTCCTCAAATCATTCCTCACCTCCTTCACTTCTTCCCTCCACTTCCTCATGTCCTCCTTCCATTCGCTTTTCTCCTTTCCCCCCCCAGTCCAGAATCACGGGAGGCTTCTTGCTCTCTCTATCTTCCTTCTCCCCCCTCTCTCCTGCATTTCTACCTTTTCTCTTTTCCTCTTTGCGTCTTCTCTTTTCCCGCTCCCGACGCTGCTGACGCTCCCATTCCTTGTTTTCTCTGCCCCCTCATCATACCCTATCCTCCTGATCATTAAAGACATTATACTTTTGCTTTTTCAAAAAAACTTTTTAAACTATTAACTGTAGATATAATTTTAAATTGAATTGAACAATTAATATAATATATCAGTATAATACATCGAGATAATTATAATATAATACTAAGTAATCACAGTAATAATACATAAATGTATATAAAACTAAAAAAGTTGTTATCTTTTTACTAGAACATTTACCTTTTTAAGTAAAAAACTAAAAAGAAATTAAAATATAAGAACATAATACTGAATATAATTACAGTTGAAAAACGAAAAAGAATTATCTTTTTATCGACAGTATTGTACTTATTATTAAACTTATAAAAAATGTAGATCGTTTTTACTTAATTTTTTTTTCTTTAAGTAATAATTCCGATAATTCAGCAGCAGCAACAGCTGCACGAATTTCTAAGGCATATTTCTCTTTAAGATGATTTATTTCAAGTTTTTGTATTGTTTCTTGATGTTGTATCTTCAAATGTGCGATTTCCTCTTCTTGTTGAATTATGCGTTTGATGCGTTCTATTTTCAATGTGTTTTCATCAATGTTTTCTTTACTATCTAATCGCAATTTCACGACTTTTTTCTTTGGTGCAGGTACTGTATTATAAAAAAATTTGTAATTAAAATCATTATTATATACATGCAGATAAAAAAATAGATATGACGTATTTTCTTACCAATGTTATCTATATCTTCTATAAAATGTTTTTCTGGTTCATTTTTTGACGTAGATGCTGTTTAATAAAAAGAAAAAATATATATACACGTATATTAGTACAGACAATAATGATGATAAATGTATATGTATAATTCCTTGTTTTTTTTACAATTCTACTTTATAAAAAATTATCATTAGAGAAATTGATAAAATTAATTTAAATATAGTAATAAATACAATAAAAATAAACACTAATACAATTTACCTTTACGGTTTCTGTTTAATGTTGTACATTTTAGTATTACATTACTTGCTTTCTCATTGTTAGTATTGTCAATCTCACTGCTTGATTCTGTAACATTCAATTGCATTGTTAGTGTATTAATTCTATATAATTTACAGACAATTTTATTAATAGAAAATATTAGTAAAATTAGTCGTTAAACCTTTCGTATCAGGTATGTCAATCGATTTTATCATCACCAAAAATGATTTGTGCATTATCATAAACATTATCATCAACTAACGAACATTTATCTTCATCTTCAAGTAATAATTCTTCAGGAATTATACAATCTTCATTTAGAATTCTCTCTCGACGTTCTAAAAAAATATATTATCTGTTACTTTTATAATTTTTTAATTATATTAGTAATAAGGGCCGGGACACAAACATTGCCATAGCGTCTTACGCCACCTTATGTGAGAATTGCCTTACGCCACACGTAAGCCAAACGTACGGCAACGCACATAAAAAAACGTAACGTAACATATCATACGTTACATGCGTTACGTTACGTTTTTCTATGTGCGTTGCCGTACGTTTGGTACGTGTCGCGTAAGGCAATTCTCACGTAAGGTGGCGTAAAGGCTATTCTACAATTGCGTAAACGTAGGGTTGTAAGAGTAAGAGTAAGAAATTGACCAATCACAGTCGAATTTGAGGAGAATAATCGACTGTGAATTGGTCAATTTCTTACTCCTACTCCTACAACCTTACGTTTACGCAATTGTAGAATAGCCTTAAGACGCTACGGTAATGTTCGTGCCCCGGCCCTAACATGAAAATTAAATTACCTTGTATTTTTTCATCTGACATATTTGATGAAAATAATGTCGGTGCTGTTGTCATCAAATTTGGTGCTATTGCAGCAATCTCAGGATCAATTTCAGCAGTTGAAGGTTCACGACCTCCACCTGTTAATAATCGTGCTTGTTTTTCATGCGTAAGAGCATCTCTCTGAGTTGATTTGAGATTACTCCATAATTTTTTAAGTTGTTGAACACTTCTCTGTATATATAATTTATAAAATTATTAACTTTTTAAAACAAAAGATATATGTACCTAAATAAAATTATCTTAACCTTAAATGTCATATCAAATAATTCTCAAATATAATGGACATTTCTATTTTACACAATTATGAATACAGCTAATTATATATAATATATTAATTTTTTACCTTGCTTGTAATAATAGATGATATGTTATATGAATCACAAATTTGACTCCATGCTTCTTCTTTATCTTTTAAGGTTGTTGCATCACTTTTTTTTCTTTCAATAATATGTGAATATTTCGATAAAATTCGTAAAAAATATTTTTTTTCTGCATCAGTGTAATGTTTCTTATTAGTTGCCATTATTTTTTAATTTTATTTATATTTTACTTATATTTTTCACTGTCAATAAAATTTGATACACGAATAATGAAACGTATAGACACGCAACTTGTAAAATTATTAGGCCGAATACTCAACGTAATATTCCATTGGTTGATACATCAGAAAAATTCCGAAGATTGCCGAATGCAAAATAAGATTGTCTTAAGCACTAACTTCATTAAGAAAATCTTAAGCAAAAAGAAGTACCAATTTCTTTATGAAGACGGTCTTATTTTGAAACTATGAATACAT